CTATGGTTTTTTCATAAACATCCTTTATCACATTAAGGAACTTTCCCTCTTTCTAGTTTTCTAAAAGGCTTTATTATGAAAGGATGTTTAATTTTGTCAAATCCATTTTCTGCATTGATTGAAATGATCATGTAGGTTTCTTTCTTTCATTCTATTAATGTATTATACTGATTTTGTGTTCAATCACCTTTATACTTCTGATATATACCCATTTGGTTATGGTGAATAACCAAATTATATGCTTTTAATATGCTGTTGGATTTGATTTGCTAATATTTTGTCAAGGATTTTTACATTTAAATTCACAAGGGATACTGGCCTGAACTACTCTTTTAGGTGATGTTCTCATCTGACTTTGGTATCATGGTACTATTGATAGTAGATTGACTCTTGATTTTGGGACTGTGGGTTAGAGCCCCACAATGGGGCTCATTAGAGATTACTAATCTCATGTAGAGATTACTAAAAAAATGAATTTAAAAAAGTGAATATTTGGTAGACTTCACCAGTGAAGCCATTTGGTTTAGGACTTCTCTTTGTTGGGAGGCTTTTAATTAGTGATTTAATCTCTTTACTTATTATGTATCTGTTGAGATTTTCTATTTCTTCTTAAGTCTGTTTAGGTAATTTGTATTTCAGGGAATTTGTCCATTTCTTCTAGGTTATCTAAGTTGTTTATGTATAATTATTGACAGTGTTGACATACAATTATTCAAAGTGTTCTTGTATAATCCTATCTCTGTAAGGTCAATAGTTTTGTCTCCACTTTCATTTCGGACTTTAGTTATTTGCATCTTCTCTCCTTTTTTTCTTAGTTAATCTAGCTCAAGTTTTGTCTATTTTGAACTTTTCAAATAACCAGTTTTGGTTTCACTCATTTTCTGTTTTTCTATTCTCTATGTCATGTATCTCAGCTCTAATCTTTACACTCTCCTTCCTTCTGCTGGCTTTGGGTTTAGCTTGCTCTTCTTTTCTAATTCCTTAAGGTGTAAACTTAGATTATTGATTGGAGATATTCTTTTTAATGTAAGCATTTACAGTTATAATTTTACCTCTTAACACTGCTTTCACTATATTCCATAAGTTTAGGTATGTTGGTTTTCTCATCCATCACAAGGTGTTTTCTAATTTCTCTGATTTCCTCTTTGAAGAAGAAAGCATTAGGAAGCTTCCATGTGGATTCTTTCAGACTCCATGTGTGTGTCTTTTCCCCTTATGATCTGGCTATATATCCTGAGTACACCACTGTAATAAATCTTAGCCATGAGTACAACTATATGCTGAGTCCCATTAGTTCTTCTAGTGAATCTCTGAATGTGAGGGTGGTCTTGGGGATCCCCCACAAATTGATGTGAGGATTAGACTGCTTAATACATGTAAAGCATTTAGCATAAATTTGGTTCATGATAAATTCTCAGTATAAGAATACTGATGATTACAGTGACAATGGGGATGACCAGTACAGAGCCATGAATAGGATAGATGCTCAAGGTCCATCAACCCAATTCCCATCCTTCTCTCTATCTTCTCCCACTATATTCGCTCATATCTAAGCTGCAACCCAATATCTTTATAATGGCTTCTCAATGCTGGCAAGTACCTCAAGTTCAGCTTCCTGTTTGACACAGCATAACAGTAAGGCCCAGAGAGGTCAACTGAACTGTCCTAAGTCATGTCATGAGCTGGTAACAAAGTTGAAACAAGAACCCAAGTCTGCCCTTTAAATTCTGTACTGACTTCACTGTCACCTGGTATATGTGATACAGCCTAGGAGTAAAATAATTAACCTGGGGCTAGGCTGTCAAGAATCCAGCTACCATAGAGGCAGAACCTTAAAAAACTAGGGAGGAATGGAAAAGTAAGGAACCTTGAAAGCTAGGAAGTAAAAGAAGCCATAAATAAGTCCAGCACTAAATTAAATGAGGCTATTATTTGCTCTAAAGGCAGAGTAAAACAACTCCTCTTGCATCTCCATTCCAACAGCACTGTCGTTCTGTTCTCTTCTGGGGGTGAGGCAGTGGGCAGGAAGTGGCACGCACTAAGGGAGCAGTCAATATCATTCAGCCCTGCAACAAAGAGCAAACAAGATGCAGGGGTAGCCAGTACAGCTGGACTAGAGAACTCCCTAAGGAGAACCCCAATATAGAAACCACAGCAGGTAAACGGAATCCTCCTATCGGTGGACAATTGCTCAAAATTCTGGGCCATATATGTAACGAGAAGACACCAGAAGGGACCAGGGACACGCTTGAGCCTTGTCTACAGGACTCAAACCACGGCCGACCACCCCCTGCTCCCCACGGAGCGTGCAAAGGAGGTGTGCAGGAAAGGGGCACAGAAAATGTCTAAGGACAGCCGAAACAATGCTCCCGCCAGACTTAGGAGGTGAGAACTCTGAGGAATGCGGTCCGCAGTGCGGTGACGCTCAGCGCGCTCGTCCAAAACAGCTGCTGTGGCAGTGAAGGACGCAGCCCCTCCCCCAGCCCACGGCCTTAAACTGACAGCTCCGCAGGCAAACGGACACACACACAATGCCTAAGTAAGACTGGCCGACCGACGGACAGAGCGCGCCTCCGCACAGCGGACTTTCCACAGCACCTACGTAAAGACGCCGCCGCGGAGGCTGCAGGGGCGGAAGTGCGTCACCGCCTTTCCGGCCCTCGAACCCGCGCCCGCTCTAGCACGCCCGGAGGCCATCTCCGCGTGTCGTTGGTCCTCCCGAGCTTCTCAGTTGCACTTTGTAGCTCTGTGCCACCCTCTTGCGGAGCTGCGGCCCTAGTTGGGAAGGCTGAGGCGTCCCGCGGGGCTCCTGGGGTTCGCTCTGGGTCGCTGGCCACTCGGGAGGGTTGGCCGGGCAGCCGCATGGGCCGATTTCCCCGGGGAAAGCGAGCCTCCGGCCGGTTAAGAACCACTAAGGACTGTCCCTGCGTCAGGCCGCCCCTCAGTGGCTCCAAGTGGACTGGACCAGCTGGCCCTAGAGTTCAGTGCTGTGAGTTAGGTCCAAGCTCCAATTCACCCTGAACTGGCCGAGCCTGTGCTGGGCTGAAAACGTTTCCCCCTCCTCTGAGCCCCTCAGCCATGCCGGCGCCAGAATGGATATGCATCCGTCCCTTGGACCCGCCTGCTACTTGCATTGAACAGCACGTCCCGCGCGCTCCCCGACCTCCACGTCTACCCCCCCACCGCACGCAGCACGCACTGACCTGGCTTTGTCTTCCTCCGGGCCTCCACTTAATCACTACCTAATCAGTATGGCTTTCCTAACTTCCCCACCCCACTTCCCGATCTCTTCTCCCATGGAGCACTTAACACAATTGTAATTACGTATTTGTTTAGGAACTAATATATATTTCCTCCTTCCCTAGACCATACACTCCAAGAGAGCAGGGACCGTGTCCCTCTTATTCGAGCTTGGTTATAGCAGAAGTTCTGGCAGTTAAGTGAGCCGTAAATATCTGTTGAATGGATAGATGGGTCTGTTTCAAGGAAGGAGGGATTTAATAAATATAGGTGAGAATGAAGGTAAGGTGATGCTGCAATCCGTTAAAGGCTGGGGGGCAAAGTTCAGCTCGTGGAAGTTGGCCCACAATTTCTGACCGCTGATTCTAAGCGAGAAGAGAATTGATGATACTGAGTACTTGCTGTGGTTGTCCCAGGTAACCAGAGAGGACTTCCTGGAGGCAGAGTATAGACAGTTCCAGCTACCCACAAAGGGGAGCTCCACAAGACAAAGGGAACTCACTATAGAGGGCATGTGGTAATCTGAGGAAACAAAGTCCCTATTTGTGGGTCACTTAGTTAAAGAGTAACCTGGGGGTTATCAGAATGGCTTGAATTGAGTCTGAACCTCACATTATTTCAGCAATGGCTTTAGAATCAATGGCACAGCTTTCTCCTTCTTGGGCCTGCTGGCAGGGACCTGGCCTGACACCTCCCAGGAGGTCCCGAGAAAATGGTCAACTGCCCCCACTGAAGCCAGGACAGTTGTAAGAGAAAGTCCCCACTACACTCTGAACCTACATCCTCATCATGAAATAAAACAATTGGTTTGAATCCTTATCAACTCCAACATTTTGTATTGCAAGATTCCCCATCTGCCCTTGCTGGAGAACTGTGCAAGCCAGCTGGGCCAGAAGTAGGGCTCCAGGCCCAAGGCTCAGGGACTGAAGTCTGAACCTCGGCTTGAAGAGTTGCCAGTCTGGGAGGCTGTTAGGGCCAATTTAATGTTAAAACCTGTTTACCATTAGGGCCCGCTTAGCCAGAGCAACTCCATATTGCCTAGGTAGCCATATTGTTGTTTACATCCACAGACTTCATTCCGGGAATAAACGCCCCCGCAGTTCCTGATATGGTTCTGGGTATGGATTCCGGGAGTAAATGCCTTAACAATAGAAGCCACATACCTTAGGTCTGCGGTCATGCCATATAAAACCAGACTGTGAGATTGGGAGGGGGTCGCTGTCTTCGGAGGCGGCCCTGCCCGGTCAGTCTAACTTCTAATGCTTGGCATAGAATAAGGCTTTGCATAATTTTCACTTTGTCTCAGTCTCGTTCCTTTGATAACAGACCCCAACAGAGGCTCTATGGATCGTTTAAAGATAAGGAAGGGAGAGATATGAAACTTAATAAGTGCTTGGTGCATTTCTGCTGAATGATCTAATAAATTAACAAATAAATAAATGCATGAGAAAATAAAGGTGTGAATGGTCAGTAAATCATGGGGGTAGGGTGGGATCCAAGAAAGCTTTGTAGACATCATGCTGGAGCTGAGTCTGAAAAGATCAGAGCAAAGCCTAAAGCTGGTGAAGGGACTGTGACCATAACCAGAGGCTTCTTTCTGGGCTTCCTTCTGGTCCCACCCCCTCCTCCCACCAGGTTGCAGCAAGTGCTAAATCGAAGAGAACACTTTGCTCCCAGGGTTATTTAATAGTTTTACAGCTACAGGGCAAGGTCCAGGTAGACAGACCTGTTCATCCCTAACTTGACACAGCCTATTAAAAGCTCTCTGGCACACAGAGAACAGTGTGTCCAGAGCTTAACCTGGAAGAGCACAGGCATGGTGCTCTGGGGTCTCGTGCTCGGAGCCCTGCTGGTGTTCACCGTGGGGTTCCTGTGTCTGCTGGGGCTGTCCCGGCAACGCAGGCCCCAGGAGCCCCCTCTGGATAAAGGCCCTATACCCTGGCTGGGCCATGCCATGGCTTTCCGGAAGAATATGTTTGAATTCCTGAAGCACATGTGGGCCAAGCATGGAGATGTGTTCACAGTGCAGCTAGGCGGCCAGTACTTTACCTTTGTCATGGACCCCCTCTCCTTTGGCCCCATCCTCAAGGACGCACAGAGAAAACTAGACTTTGTGGAGTATGCGGAAAAACTGGTGCTAAAGGTATTTGGGTACCAGTCAGCACAAGGAGACTACCGGATGATACACTCAGCCAGCACCAAATACCTCATGGGGGACGGCTTGGCAGAGCTCAACAAAAGCATGCTGCACGGGCTGTCCCTGGTCATGCTGGGGCCCATGAGCCAGAGTCCAGATGCTAGTTGCTGGCGTGAAGACGGCCTCTTCCACTTCTGCTACAACGTCTTGTTCAGGGCTGGCTACCTGAGCTTATTCGGCTATACAAAGGACCAGGAGCAGGACCTGCGACAGTCCGAGGAGTTGTTTGTCCAGTTCCGCAAGTTTGACCGCTTGTTCCCCAGGTTTGTTTATTCCTTGCTGGGGCCCCGGGAGTGGCTAGAAGTGGGCCGGCTCCAGCGTCTCTTCTACAAGGCACTGTCTGTGCAGCAAAACTTGGAAAAGAATGGCATCAGCAGCTGGATATCCTACATGCTTCAGTATCTGAGGGAGCAGGGAGTAGCCCCAGCCATGCAGGACAAGTTCAACTTCATGATGCTCTGGGCCTCCCAGGGGAACACGGGCCCGATCTCTTTCTGGGCACTCTTGTTCCTGCTAAAGCACCCAGAAGCCATGCAGGCTGTGAAGGAGGAGGCCACCCAAGTCCTGGGGGAGGCCAAGCTGAAGGCCAGGCAGTCCTTCGACTTTGACGTCAGCATCCTGCACCGCACTCCAGTGCTGGACAGCGTGATGGAGGAGACGCTGCGGCTGGGGGCTGCGCCCACCCTCCTGAGGGTGGTACACGGTGACCACGTCCTGAAGATGGCCAACGGACAGGAGTACCAGCTCCGAAGTGGAGACACCGTGGCCCTTTTCCCCTATCTTTCAGTGCACATGGATCCTGACATCCACCCGGAGCCCACTGCCTTCAAGTATGATCGCTTCCTCGACTCCAGTGGTAGCCGCAAAGTGGACTTCTACAAGGCCGGCAAGAAGATCCACCACTATACCATGCCTTGGGGCTCAGGTGTCTCCATCTGCCCTGGAAGGTTCTTGGCCATCAATGAGATGAAGCTCTTTGTCCTGCTCATGGTCATGTACTTTGACATGGAGCTCGTGGACCCTGACACACCTGTGCCACCTGTGGAACCCCGCCGCTGGGGCTTTGGCACCATGCAGCCCAGCCACGAGGTGCGCTTCCGTTACCGCCTGCGACCTATCGACTGAGACCTGACAAGGTGGATGTGAGCCTGTTCTCCAGACCTCCCTTGGGATCTCCACCTCCTCCAGCCCTTCTGAAGCACCCCCCTTCCCTCGGGTTCTGTGGGATCTCCTACCTCTGTCCAGGTGGTCTTCCTTAGCTTTCTGGCTTTTCTCTAGCTACTTGATAGGCTTATCAATCTCTCTTGAAATCACCGTCTCTCAGAGTGGGTTCTGCAGAACCCCCCCCTCATACAAAGTCCACAGGAAGGGGAACTATCTAGGGGAAACTTAGTTTTGGAAAGAATGCCTACCTTGACAAGTCCTGCAGTACAGAAATGGGTTATCGTGAGCCATGATATTCCCGTGCAGATGCTACCCTCCACCCTTCCACCTCACTGTATTATTTTCCTCAATGCCTATTCCACATCCTATGGAATTCAGGTTCGTCCAGAGCAACACAAGGCAAGCCATGTGTGTAATTTTTAATTTCCTAGTTGACACATTTTTTAAAAAGCAAAAAGAAACAGGTGAAGTTCATGTTTATGATATATTTAACTTAACCCAATATATCCCAAATATTAGCATTTCAGTATGTCATCAATATAAGAATATTAGTGAAATATTTTTACATTTCTTTTTCTTGTGTTGCCTTCAAAATCTGGCATGTACTTTTTCTCCTTGCAACATGTCTCATGTCAGACCAGCCACATTCTAAGTGCTCAACAGCCATGTGTGGCTAGTGGCTCCTGAACTAGATAGAGCAGGTCTGGAGACATGTTGCCTTTTAGATGGGAGTTATTAAAGGAGCCCCCACTCCGTGGGGACCCTCCACACCCCCACCACACCCCCACCCCAGGGTGATCCTAGTCCCTCCTCTGGTTTCCTCAACCATTGCTGAGCTTGGAGCCCTCTCTGACTTCCAGACCCTCATCCTCCCCACTGGGGTCCCACAGACCCTCTGACTCAGTTTGGCTCACATAGAACTCAGCATCTGTCCCCCACCTCTGCCCTGAACCACGTCCTTCTCTGGATTTCCCTGTCTGTCTCTCCTCAAGACATCACCACCAATCTATCCCCCAAGACAGACACAGAGATGACATCCTCACCTCCCCAGCTCTCACCCACAGTCAGGCTCCAGTTCTGTCAGTTCAAGCCCTTGCAGTGTCTCTGAAGCTGTCCCCTTTTCCCCACCCCCACTGCCCTGTGATAGCTCAACACTGTGCATCTCTCCACACCAGGCCTGCCGGGCCCTCTCTTCACCCTGCCCTTTCTCCAAACCTTTCGCATCTGATTGTCATTCTCTCACTTTTCTGGCTCCTCCACACACCTAACATTTAAACTTTGCCATAGTTGGTCCCCAAATTTTCAATCCAGCACAATTCAACATTGCCAACTTTCTCTAGTGGAATTTTCTGCAGAGTTGCTTGCTTTAATGACCAATAATTAGCTACGAGTAGAAATCTTCCTGGATCTCCCCCCTCCCATCCTCTGGCCAGAAATGGACTCCATCTCCTGAGGCTCCCCTAGCACAGTTTACATCACAGCAAATCTGTTATGTACCTTCAATTTCTGTGTCCTGCTCCCTCCCCCAGACTGGAGCTCATAGGGCTTAGTGTCTTATTACTTCATCTCTGATCCCCAATTCCCCAAATAGAGATTAAATGATAAAAAATCAACTCCATCTCAGCTACTTTACTTCATGTCCTCGAATCATTTCCTTCCCCCTCCCTGGCCTCACTCAGCTTTCTGGCACAAGAAATGATGACAGTCCCATTGCCAGGTATGCTTACTAGGGCTGGGAGAGGGTGAGAGTGTGTTGCTGGCTGCCAGAGCTGAGCGGCCCCGGACAGGAGGGGCAGGTGCTGTGGGGACTAACCAAGGGTCCTGCAGAAGGGGAGCCAGGCAGCATAGACCCTCTGTGAGGATGCCCAGTGGGGTTTCTCTCCTACTCATCTATCCCACATCTATGACTGATCTCTTCCATTTTTTTTTCTTGAGGCTGGCTGTCCTGTCCAGAGTTTTGCTAGGATAATAGGCTGTTAGAGCAACTCAGGTAGGGCCTGGGGCTGGAGTTAAGAGTCTGTCCCCATTAGCTATGTGACTCTGGGCCAGAGTCTGCCCTTCTCTGGGTCTAGCTGCCCCAAAATGATGATGTCTGCCTGGAGCTAACAGAGCTCAAGCCAGTCAGGAGGAATATTCAGGAAGAATATTCCCTGCTATTCTGCAAGGGGCTAGGAGCATAAGAAAAAATGACATGGGGAACACAGAAGAAGGTGAAGGGCACTGAGAGGCTGGGAGCCACGACGGAGAGATTACCAATGAGCCTCTCCTGGCTCTCTGCACAGCCAGGCCCTGTGCTGGATCAGGGCAAAGACGCAGAGTCTTCACACACTCCTGGGCCCTGCCCAGACCTAGGTGCTGCATCCCCTCATTTTCCCCACACCCAGAGAAATCTGGACCAGGGACCTGACCGGAGGGCCAAAGTCCATTGAGTCAAGAGGTCTCAACTGAAAGTGACTTCGTTTAGATCTCCCAGGAACACACTCTCTACAAAGACTACCCTTCCTTCCCTACCAGGGGCCTTGAGGCAATAGGAAGACTGAGACCTCCAAGGATACATTTAGTCACTACCTATTCTGACACAACAGGCCTGACCCCCCAATCCTCATTTCTGTACCAGTTTCTTCTCCCTCAAAGAATAGCCCACAATGTGTATTCTGTGACAATAGCTTATAACAGAACAAGATCTGGGGTGACATGCCAGTGGCAGATTTGCAGGCATCTGGGAAAGAAAAGAGGTTTTTCTGTTAGTTTGGTTTGGTTGTTTCCACCACCACCCCCATAGGTAGTAACTGCTGTAAACCCTCACACCTTCACAGAGTAGAGGGTGGGCAGCCTTGCTCCCAGGCAGAGCCGTGCCTGTCCTTCTTCCCAGGTCAGCCAGGGGGGAAAGTCCGTCTTGCATCGGAATCTGAGGGCCAAGACAATCCTGGGAACTTTCCTTCCCAGGAAAGAGCAGCAGGAGGAACCAACATCCAGGCTGGGAAGTAAGGTCAGGATGAAGGGGGCTCTGTCCTGGCCTGGGCTGTGAAAGCCCACCTCCAATTCACTCCTTGACTAGTGCCATCTGTGTGTAGTCAGAGCCCTCAACATGGTCAGCAGCAGTCAATGGTAAGGAAGACAGTGAGAGGGATCAACATGTCACCTATGGCCAGCCCTTCTCCTTCTCCTTGGGCACAGGCTTCAGGTCCCTTCTTATACACCTGCTGTTTGCAGAGAGCACATACCCACACCTACACACCTAGAGGAAGACACACAGGAACACAGAGAAAACCCATGGGCACAATCCCAGACCCATGCAGACACAGTGACATGTTCATGTCGGACCCACATACACAGCCATATGTACTATGCACAGCCCACACGGCAATACACACACACACACACACACACACACACACACACACCCCAGTGCTGGGGACAAGCCCTGCCAGGCGCTGGCATACCTTGTCCCATTCCATCTGTGCATCATGGATACAACATCGGAGACTCTGGGTCGATAGACCCTGTCAGTACAGTCAGGCTGCTCTGTGGGCAGGCCTGAGGTCCCCCCTGGGGCAGATTTCAGGAGCTCTAAAGTAGAACCGCATCCCCCACATCCTCAAACAAGTCAGCACCTTCAGAGTCAGAGCTCCGTTTCCTAGGGCACCATGGGAGCTCAGAGTCCTTTGTGACAGTGGGAATCCGGGGCCTTGGGAGAGAGAACTAAAGGCACAAGAGTTGAATGAGATGGAGGACGGGAAAAGCAAAGCATATAAAACCAGCAGAGTCAACTCTGGCAACAACCGGGGACAGCCCTGCTCATGGCACATGGGCCATGACTAGAGCATCCGAAGCTGAGGGGAAGAGAAGAAAGAACGGCAGAATACTGACCACCTGGTCCATTCTCTATCCATCCATTCATTTTAAAAATGTTCAATGAACCTCTGTTACATTCTGAGCTCTGGCTTAAGCACAGGGGATACCGATTTAATACGTGGCAAAGTCCCTGATCTCCTGGAGCTTGCGTATAACCAGCCCTGTGTTCTCTTGTCCTCCAGTCTATCCGCCTGTAAGTTTCCTTCCATGCATTATTGCCTGCCAGGCTCTGTGCTGGATTTTCAGGACAGACACAGCCGGTTGTGGACAGGTTGTACTGTGGGCCAGGGGCTCCCTGGGGAAAGGTTTTCAGTGGCCAGGACAGATGCTAACCACTGGAGACAGGAAGAGGGAAGCACCTAGGCAGGGCAGATCAGCCAGGAATCGGACCGCAAGTGACAAAACAGCCCCACGTGAAGGAATATATTGGTTCGTGTAACTGTCAGGTCCCCTGAAGGGATGAGCTTCAGCCATGCCTGGATTCCGGGGCTTCCACAGTGCCCTCAGGGTCTGCACACTCACTGGGCTATCACCTCACCCTCTGAAGTTGGAGTTGATGAAGGAGAACCCCACACACACACACCACACATCCTCTTGGCTTCAATCTCATGCCTCTATTCTAGCATGTTCTAGTTGCTGCATTTCACAAGCTCTATCTGGGTCCTGTGCCCATCCTAAATGAATCACCATGCCAGGGAAAGGTAAGGCTGCAAATGGCCCAAGTCCTGTGCTCTACATGAATGCCACCCAAAGCACAAGGCAGAGGGAAAAACAAGTGGTTTCCCAGAGCAAGCAGAATTCCATTACAGAACAAGGATGAGAAGACAGCTGGCTGAAAAATGACCCCTGTTGCACAAGAGAGTGGGCAAGCATAAAACAGGGAGGTGGAAATGTGTAAGAAACAAGGGGTGGGGCACCCAGGTGGCTCATTGGGTTAAGCCTCTGTCTTTGGCTCGGGTCATGATCTCAGAGTCCTGGGATCAAGTCCTACATCGAGCTCTCTGCTCAGCGGGGAGCCTGCTTCCTCCTCTCTCTCTGCCTGCCTCTCTGCCTGCTTATGATTTCTCTCTGCAAATAAATAAATAGAATCTTAAAAAAAAAAGAAAAGAAAAGAAAAGAAACAAGGGGTGCCTGGTGTCCAGGAAATGAGAAGTAATGAAGGAGTATAAGGTCAAGCTGGTAAATGGGATTCTTCTTGTGAAAGCTCCAGTCTTGAAGCTGGACAAAGACTTTAGACTTGATTGTGCAGGCCCTAGGGACCCCCGAAGGCTCCAGGGAGGGGACATGGGAAGCAGAGAGAGGGTGATCCTCCTGGACTATTGGGAACACGTGTTCACTCTGCCTCCCACCTGCCAACTCTCACGTTCCAGGGAAGTCCCCCAGGCCCCCGTAGTGGAACCCTTCCCACCCCTCCTGCTTGCCGGACCCTTGGAGCCACTATCAACACTGTGACATTAAACAATATTGCAGCAGTACGTCTCCAGCTGAGCTCCAGGGAAGGGAGCCAACTGGTGGGTGGCAAGCCTGGGGCTACTTTGAGGAAGGCTGGAGTGATGGCTGCAGGTGAGGTGATCATTCTGGCCTGTGGGTGCAGATCAGATGACAGGAGAGCATAATGACCAGAAGCACAGCAGTTGGTTGGGAAGCTACTCTAGCAATTTGTGCACGAGAGTCTGGTTTCCTGGATGACCACAGGGTGTGGCAACATGGTCCCTGAAGCCTCTGGAAAGAGGGCTTTGGGTGGATGCCCAACAGAGCTAGGTCCCATCCACTCTCGCCAGACTGTGGTATGGTCACTCAGGTTTAATTTTCCCCCATATCACTCTTGCTGGGGGAGAGCTCAGCCAGCCTCTCCCCGAGGTCATTCATGCTGGTCATTTCTTCTTGGGCGGTGAGCCTGCTACTCTCAGAGCAGCTGGACAGTGGGGCCTGTGCTGGGCCAGGTGCCTGGTGACGCCTGAGCACAGTGACGAGGAAAGCTTTCAGATACTGGCGGAAGTGGCGGCTGGAGAAAGCATAGAGAATGGGGGTGAAGCAGCAGTGAAGGAAGGCGATGCTCTCGGTCACCTGCAGAGCATAGTCTAGCTGCTTGGCAACCTCGCATTCCCCAAAGACTTGCAGGTCCAGCAGTGAGTGCAGAAACAAGGTGAGGTTGTATGGGAACCACAGCACAAAGAAGGCCACCACCAGCGCTGTGACGATCCTTAGAGCCCGGCCCTGGCCCGGGGGCCTCAGCCTGACCAGGACGCAG